CTCTCTCTGCCCCTCCACAGCTCATGCTTCATCTCTACCAAAAATAAATAAACATTAAAAAATTTTTAAATAATGAAAATTTTTTTTAAAAAAAAAAGATATTTGAGGGGCGCCTGGGTGGTTTAGTCGGTTGGGCGTCCGACTTTCGCTTGGGTCATGATCTCGCAGTTCGTGGGTTCAAGCCCCACGTCGGGCTCTGTGCTGACTGCCAGCTCAGAGCCTGGAGCCTGTTTCAGAGTCTGTCACTCCCTCTCTCTCTGACCCGCCCCTGCTCACGCTGTCTCTCTCTCTCCTAGAAATAAATAAAACATTAAAAAAAAAAAAAGATATTTGAAACACACAGAAAAGTAAAAAGAACACTTAGCATTCTGCCTTTTACCCATACACTTATACCACAGCATGTCACACCTGCAGCATGCACCTCCAAAAACGGGACACTCTCCTTTATAACCATGCTATTACCAGATCTAGAAGATAATTCTCAAATATCATCTAACAGGGGGGCACCTGGGTGGCTCAGTCTGTTAAGCATCTGACTCTTGATGTGGGCTCAGGTCATGATCTCATGGTTTGTGAGTTTGAGCCTGACTTCGGGCTCTGAGCTGACATTGCTTGGGATTCTGTCTCTCACCTCCTCCATGTGCTCTCTGTCTCCATCTCTCAAAATAAATAAACCTTAAAAATATATAGGGGCGCCTGGGTGGCTTAGTCGGTTAAGCGTCCAACTTTCACTCCGGTCATGATCTCGCGGTTCGTGGGTTCGAGCCCCGCATCGGGCTCTGTGCTGACTGCCAGCTCAGAGCCTGGAGCCTATTTTCAGAGTCTGTATCTCCCTCTCTCTCTGAGCCTCCCCTGCTCACGCTGTCTCTCTCTCTCCTAGAAATAAATTAAAAAAATTAAAAAATATATATATAGGGGCACCTGGGCGGCTCAGTCAGTTAAGCGTCCAACTCTTGATTTCTGCTAAGGTCATGAGCTTAAGCTTCCTGAGATCCAGGCCAGCGTGGGGCCTGCTTGGGATTACCTCACTCTGTCCCTCCCCTGCTCTCTCTCTGTCTCTCAAAAGAAATAAACTTACAAAACTTTAAAAAAATACATATATATCACCTAACAGGACTAAATATTCAAATCTCCACTACTCTCTAAAAGATGTTCTTCTAGGAGTTTTCTTTTTGAACCAGGATCCAGTCAAGGTTCATATCTTGCATCTGGCTTCACCTCTTTATGCTTTTTAAATCTAGAACACTCCCTCCCTTTGTTTTTTCCATGACACTGACTTCTGGAACAGAACCAGGACAGTTGTCTTATAAAATGTCCCACATCCTGGACACCTTATCATTACCTTAATGTTTTTAATCTGCTCCCCTGTTCTCTAAAAGTATGATTAAGCTAAATGATGTTCAGCAGGAAAACTTCACAGATGACACACTTAAGTTCTTACCTCCCCACATCAGAGGGTGCATTATTAATAATCACTTCCAAAGGCAATAAGTCTGTTTTTAATTTTTTTGTTTGAATATTTCCTTGGCCTTATGAATTCTATATCATTAAATATTTTTTAATGAAGTCAATTTCTTTCTTTTTTACAGATTTTATTTGTAAGTAATCTCTACACCAACTGTGGGGCTCAAATCCACGATCCCAACATCAAGAATCATTTGCTCCATTGACTGAGCCAGTCAAGAGCCCCATTTTTTTCCCTTTCTGATGCTCAAATTTGGCCAATTCTCTAGACTTGAAAATGCTGGCAACTAATTTCAAAATGTTAAGTGCTGTATGAAAGATACAGCCCAATTTTTCAACACTAAACCCTATGAATTCCCTTGAGGGCCCTTTTTGTTATTACTCTCCTTTCCAGCTCCCTTGATAACCTTGGTCCAAACATGACACAGAATCAGCCACAAAACTGTTTCCAGAATGCAGTCGGTCATTTCCTAGGCCACCTTCCATTTCACGAAAGAACCCGGGTCTTCCACCTGAAGTGTCCTCAGAAGCAAGTCAATTTGCTTTGTGCAGCCTCCTTCTTGTCTACACAGGGGGAACTCACTGCTCTTCCTACTTCAGAGAGTGAACAATGTACATGGGGGCACCTGGGTGCCTCAGGTGGTTAAGCGGCTGACTCTGATCTCGGCTCAGGTCATGATCTCATGGTTCATAGGTTTGAGCCCCACGTCGGGCTCTGTGGTGCTGCTGTGGAGCCTGCTTGGGATTCTCCCTGTCTTCTTTCCCTGCCCCTCCCCCTGCTCAGAAAGAAAGAAAGAGAGAGAGAGAGAAAGAGAGAAAGAAAGACAGGCAGGCACTTTAACAAACTTTGTAAGATTGTTACAAAGTCTCAAAGATCGGCTCTACAAATACAGAAATCCAAATTTTCGATCACCCCCACCTTTCCTCCCAGGACCCTCAATCGATCCTTTCCAGGTTCTCCAAGTTCAGCACATCTCCACTGCCTCCAGTAACCCCCACCTCCCAAGAATTCCACGCCCTGACTATGATTTGCCCCTTAGGTCATCCCCCTCCTCAGCAGCACCCATCATTCTTTACCGCTCCGTGAAGGACTCCTACCCTCTGACACTTCTCTCCCTACATTCCAGCTTCATCCTCACCAACTCTGCCCTACCTCAAACAAAACCATCTGCGGCCCCCAACCCTTCGCATCAACCTTTTTAGTACATACAGGATCCCTTTCACAACCCTTTACAGGACCTCCTAACACTCAATCCGTCAAATACAGTCCCTAAAATCAATCAACCCCACCTATGTCTTCAGGCCCATTTTCACCATTTTATTCCCATTCTTCCATTTCACTTGCATTCAATCCTCTGACTGAGGCTGGTTGATGCCTCACGAAGAACCCACACACCTGAAATGAGCCTGAAAACTCAGGCTTAGCCCACACGCCACCTCACTGTCCCTCCCCCCAACACACTTTCTCACCAAAAGACTCTAGAAACTCCCACCTCTCAAACTAAATTCTCTTGACCTGCCTGCCTCCTGAACCCTTAGATCAATTAATTCTATACTCTGGACTCACATCACATAACCCCTCCAACCAGACCTCATCTCGGAACTCAACCACTCATTTATATATTTCTATTTAGGACGTAAACAAACATCTAAAACCTAAGACCTAAAGAGCACACCTGATTCTTCACTCACCCCACCATCTCAGTCAATAAATAGCAATTCCAGGGGCGCCTGGGTGGCTCAGTCGATTAAGCATCCTACTTCGGCTTGACAATAAACTATTTGTAAAAAAATAAATAAATACATAAAAAATAAAAAATAAAAAAAAGCATCCGACTCCAGCTCAGGTCATGATCTCGCAGTTCATGACTTTGCATGAATTTGAGCCCTGTGTCAGGCTCTGTGCTAATAGCTCAGAGGCTGGAGCCTGCTTTGGAATCTGTGACCCTCTCTCTCTGCCCTTCTCCAATCGGTGACTCCCCCTCTCTCTCTCTGCCCTTCTCCCACAATACATGTTAAAAAAAAATTTTTTTTTAATAAAATAAATGGCAATTCCATCTTCCCAGCTGCTCAAACCAAAAAACCTTAACGTCATCCTTGAGTTCGGTCTCTCAGAGCCCACACACTGACCCTTCAATAAGTCCTCTCCCCTCCCCACCTTGAAAATATACCCAGGGGGGGCGCCTGGGTGGCTTAGTCGGTTAAGCGTCAGACTTTAGCTAAGGTCATAATCTCACGGTTCGTAGGTTCAAGCCCCGCGTCGCGCTCTGTTCGGACAGCTAGCTCAGAGCCTGGAGCCTGTTTCAGTCTGTGACTCCCTCTCTCTCTGACCCTCCCCTGCTCACTCTGTCTCTCTCTCTCTCCTAGAAATAAATAAAACATTAAAAAAAAAAAAAAGAAAATATACCCAGGGGCACCTGGGTGGCTCAGTCGGTTAAATGTCGGGCTTTGGCTCAGGTCATAATCTCACGGTTCGTAGGTTCCAGCCCCGCGTCGCGCTCTGTTCGGACAGCTAGCTCAGAGCCTGGAGCCTGTTTCCGATTATGTGTCTCCCTCTCTCTCTGACCCTCCCCTGCTCACTCTCTCTGTCTCAAAAATAAATAAAACATAGAAAGAAAGAAAAAAAAAACACTCTCCAATGGGTTTCTCCTTCCCTGGCCTCCCTATCACAACAGCTCTCCCGCCTCCCCATCCTTTGCCCCATCCTCTCACCCCGCGTTACCTAATGTATTATTCACGTTGACTGCTTCCCCCACCAGAATGTACGCTCCGTGTGGGCAAGGAGTCGATGCCGCTGGCTCAGGGCCTAGAACAGTGATTGCGGCAGGCACTCGATACTTGATAAAAAGCGATCCCCTCTTGCAAAGATCTCATTCCCGCCGACAGCTGCTCCATACCTAAGGTATGCCTTATACCTTCCTCATACCTAGGCAGAAGTAGCCTCTTCGGGTACCGCCAACCCCCAGCCTCTCCGAGCTCCTCAACATTCCCACTGGAAATAGGGTGCTCCAAACGCCTCAAAACCCCTCCTTCTTTCATACTGGCCCACCCTTTAGAAGCCACAAGAACGTTAAGTGTGCCCGCGCGCGGTTCGCCGGTTCCCCCCGCGTCCAACAGAGAAGATTCGCACCATCGACGAATGAATGAACTACGCCTCCCCCCCATCTTTCCCCGGCACGGCCGGCCCCTCCTCCTCCCTAAACACCCCGCCCCCATCACTCCCGTAGGACGTCCCAGTCCCGGAGTTTGAATCCTCCTAATCCCTCCACCGAGACCCCTCCAGCGCCCCTCCCAGAGGCCCTCCCTCGGAGCGACACTCCCACTACCCCGGGAGGTCCCCGCTTCCCTCAGCTTCCAGAAACGCCGCTAACCACCTCCGCCCCCCCCAGGCCTCTCAGGACAGCGACCCACCCCCGGGCACGTCATTCCCGCCTCCACGCTTCAAATCCGCCCCGCCGGCCCCGGGAGGGTAGCGAGCGCCGCAGGCCGGACGCCCCCGACAGACCCTCAGCCCCACGAGCCGCGCCGGCCCTGACCGTTTCTGGGCCTCCAGTCCCCACAGACGGATCTGCCGGTCATACTGCGCCGCCTCCTCCTCACTGATGCCGCCGCCGGCCTCCTCCTTCTCCACCATGGCGCCGGCTCTAGCTGCCTGCACTCGGGTCCTGCCCACCGCAACCGCCCGCCGGCCCCACACGCCGCCAACCGCCGCCGGACGCGCGCCCGGGCCGCGTCTGCGCCTGCGCCGGGGGACCGCGCCTGCGCAGGACCTCCTCCACCGCCCGGCCCGCCCCGGGAGCCCGGGACCAAGTGAAGGCCGCCCGCCTGAAAGGCGGGCCGGCAGGACTGCGGGTCACGTGACGGCTGCTCCAGCCACTCCCGGCCCCAAAATGGCGCGGTTCCTCCCCACCCCCATCCCCCGCCTTCTCGCCCGGCGTTGAGTACCCAAGTGCTCGCTTAACGGGGCATTTTATGTATTTTTTGAAATTTATTTTATTTTTTACTTATGGGGATTTTTAAGTCAGCAGATATTTATCTAGCACTTGATGAAATCCCGGGATTGGTGTGAAATAGAGCAGCGAACAAAATAGAGCCCTGCCCTCCTGGAGCTAACGTTCTATTGCGGAGAGCCCAAGGAAAAATAGAAATCAGGCCGTGATACATGCTGCGGCGAAAAAGAAACCCGGATGGGGCACCTGCGTGGCTCAGGCGACTCGGTTCAGGTCATGATCTCACGGTTCGTGGGTTCGAGCCCCGCGTCGGGCTCTGTGCTGACCGCTCAGAGCCTGGAGACTGTTTCAGATTCTGTGTCTCCCTCTCTCTCTGACCTTCCCCTGCTCATGCTGTCTCTCTCAGAAATAAATATATATATTCGTCTCTCTCAGAAATAAATATATATATTCTGAAAGAAAGAAAAAGAAAGAAAGAAAGAAAGAGAGAGAAAGAAAGAAAGAGAAAGAGAGAGAGAGAAAGAAAGAAAGAAAAAGAAAGAAAAGAAAGAAAGAAAGAGAAAGAAAGAAAGAAAGAAAAAAGAGAAACCCGGGTGGGACTACAGGGTTACAGGAGTGGCCAGAGGGAAGGCTGGCTCAGAAAGGTGCTATTGAACAGAGATGGGAAGGGACTGAAGAAACAAAACGTGTGGTTGCGTGGGAGATGGAGCCTTTCTGATCAGGGCAAACAGCAGGTGCAAAGGCCCTGTAACTGGAATGTGCTAGCATAGCTGAGCAAGTTGGCTGGAGCAGAGAGGATGGGCTCGCAGTAAGAAGTGAAATCATGGATGAAGCAAGGAGGGGTATCCTGAGGGGCCTTGGAGGCTAGTACTAGCCGATGTGTTTTTACTTAGACAAAGTGCCTTTTTATTGTTCATTCAACAACTACTTATTGAGCATTTGCGTGTTAGCCATTGATCTCGTTGCTGGGGTAGAGCACTGAAAAAGAAAAAATAGCTGCCTTCTCCCGGAGTTTAAATGGGTTTTCAATGTTTTGTTTGTTTGTTTGAGAGAGGGGGATGGAGAGCCTGTGTCAGTTAAGCATCCGACCTCAGTTTAGGTCATGATCTCCCCGTTTGTGAGTTTGTGCCTCAAATCAGGCTCCGTGCTAAGCATGCGGAGCTTGCTTGGGAATCTCTCTCTCTCTCTCTCAATAATAAATAAACTTTGTAAAAATTAAAAAAAAAAGAGAGCGCACAATCCCACAAGTGAGGGAGGGGCAGAGAGAGGAGAGAGAGAAAATCCCAAGCAGGCTCTGTGCTGTCAGCAGGGAGCCCGAGGCAGGGCTCAGTCTCAAGGACCATGAGATCATGACCTGAGCCGAAATCAAGAGCTGGACGCTTAACCGACTGGGCCACCTAGGCTCCCCTATGTGAATTATCTTTGTAATGTTTATGAGATTAGTGCGATTCTTTAATATAACTAGTTCATAGCTAATGAGTCTGAGGGCCAGCAAAGTTAAGTATTAGTAGCCTGAACAAAGTCTTAGATCTTAGAAGTTGTGAAAGTAGGCTTCAGACCCAGGCTATGTGACCCACATGCTTCATCAGGAGCTTCTACTGCTTGGGGTGTAGTCAGCTTCTACCCTATGCTCGGATCTTGGCCTTGAGGCACATATTCTGTGAGCCACAGGGCTCGATATTTCATCCCCTTTTACAGATTACAACTCTGGGACTCAGGAAGGGGTAGGAATTCATCCGAGATCACGACATCCCTCAAATAAAACAGTGTGGCCCACGCTTACTCTTGGTTATTGACATGAAACAGGCTCCGTAAAAGATCAGGGACCTGAAACAACACTACGTATTTACGATCCCTTATGGTTTTGTGAATCAGGGATTCGGGAGCAGCTGTGGTCTGAGCTGTTCTGGTACAAGGTCTTTCATGCGGATGCGGTCAGAGGTCAGCTGGCATGAGTCACCTGATGGCTTTCGATGGAAGATCCTCTTCCAAGATGACTCACTGCTGTGGCTGGCAAGCTGATGTTGGCTGATGGCTGGGGACCCCAGTTCCTCTCCGCATGGGCCTAACCACCGGGCTGCCAGAGTGTCCTCCTGACTCGGTGGCCTCGGTGGCTGACCACCCCCAGAGTGAGCGATCCAGGAGAGCAGCTGAAAGCAGCAATACCTTTTAGAACTCAGCTTTGGAAGTCACACACAGCCAACTCGGCGATGTCCCATTGGTCACACCCAGCTCTGTTCATTCTGGGAGAGAACAATACAGGGGCATTGAATACTAAGAGGCAAGGAGCCTGTCTTGGAGATGGGTTACCACAATGCCTGTGCACCAGACCCTGTGAAAATGTGGTGAAGAAAAGAAATGTGGATATGCCCTGGGTCGTGCGGAGGAGCTAGTAGGGAAAGGTAGGCAGTAGAAATCAGCCAAAGAAATATTCATTAAATATTCTCAACATAGATTTACCACATCCCTACTATGTGTTTGACTTTATGCCAAAGTCCTGGGGATACGATAATAAGAATGGACATACTCCAGGGGCGCCTGGGTGGCTGAGTCGGTTGAGCGTCGGACTTCGGCTCAGGTCATGATCTCACGGTTCATGCCTTCGAGGCCTGCGTTGGGCTCTGTGCTGACAGCTTGGAGCCTGGAGCCTGCTTCCAATTCTGCCCCCCCATCCTGCTCACCCTCTGTCTCTCAAAAATAAATAAACGTTAAAAAAAGAAAAAAATGAGAGAGTTTGGGAAGTACAGGTCTCTTCAAATCTGCATTGTTTCTTCCAAATTATCACTTGGCCCCCTAGGAAAGGTCGTTTTCTAACCATGACCTTACCTCTTATCCTAATCCAGAGGATGAGATGTGGGTCCAGATGGCTTGAAGTTCAGAAACAGTATGAGAATAATTGACACTACTTGGTAACTTTTATTTTATTGTATCACAACTTTAAAAATTTTGTTTAATGTTTACTTATTTTTGAGAGACAGAGACAGAGTGAAAGTGGGGAAGGGACAGAGGAAGAGGGAGACACAGAATCTGAAGCAGGCTCCAAGCTCTGAGCTGTCAGCCCAGAGCCCCATGCGGGGCTCGAACTCACAAACCCCCTGTGAGATCATGACCTGAGCTGAAGCCGGACGCCTAACCGACTGAGCCCCTCAGGTGCCCCACAATTTTCTAAAGTAATCTCCACACCCAGTGTGGGGCACAACCTCACAACCTCGAGGTCAAGACTAGCATACTCTACAGACTGAGCCAGCCAGGCACCCTACACATTTTTATTTTGGAGAATTTCAAGCTTACAGAAAAAAAATAGTCCAATGAATATTCATATATCCTTTGTCTAGATTCATTAATTTGAAATTTTGGCACATAGGCGCACGCCCTGTCTCTCATGCGCGCGGGCGCGCGCACACGGACACGCGCGCACACACACACACACACATTTTTTAGCTAAACCACTTTATAGTTTGTCCACCCAGATCTTTAAATCAATGCAGGGAAAATTTTTGAGAACGAGTGGGCCGGATTCTCTTAAACACTTCCTGCATATAAAATGCCAAATATGCACAAATCCCTTACACCAAAAGATTAATTCCAGAGGTCTGGGCCACTTGAAAATTTCTATATTTAAATCCAAATGTTCCCAGGGTTAAATAATGCCAACTAAGGAAATAATTATTGCAACAAGGCCATGCAGTAAGTTCACTTGTTTATCGTTGAGGCCGATTGCATTTTGCACATACATTTGTCCAGACTCTTCCTTCAACATGCCCTCCATGCTACCCCCACCAAGAGGGTGCAGTGTGAACTCATCTTAATTTATATTACATTTAACATAATATAAACTATATATAATTATATATAATTCAATGACCCTATTTCCAAATAAGGTCGTATTCTGAGGTTTCGGGAAGAACATGACTTTGGGGGTAGGCAAAAACGATTTAATCCAGTATTGGTACCACTGCATCTTCTGAAATGTATAACAACATATGTAGAAATAGCTATCTCTGTACACGTGTGGAGCTAGCTAATTAGCTAGCTCGATAACAGAAGTTTGGCATTTGATTTACAATAATTTGGCAGAGTTGGGGACGGTCAGTGGGTAGAAATATGGCTTGGCTATGAGTTTACAATTCTCTTTTTAACGTTTATTTATTTTGAGAGAGAGAGAGAGAGTGCACGAGCAGGGGAGGGGCAGAGAGAGAAGGGAGAGAGAATCCCAAGCAGGCTCTGCATTGTCAGTGCAGAGCCCGATGTGGGCCTCGAACTCATGAACCGTGAGATCATGACCTGAGCCAAAACCAAGATGCGGATGCTTGACTGACTGAGCCACCCAGGCGCCCCTGTAATGTTTTTTAAGATTTTATTTTTATCGGGGTGCCTGAGTGGCTCAGTGAGTTAAGCGTCTGACTTCGGCTTAGGTCATGATCTCATGGTTCGTGGGTTCGAGCCCAGCATCGGGCTCTGTGCTGACAGCTATAGCTCAGAGCCTGGAGACTGTTTCAGATTGTGTATCTCCCTCTCTGTCTGACCCTCCCCGTTCCTGCTGTCTGTCTCTCTCTCTATCGGAAATTTAAAAGAAAAATTAAAGATTTTATTTTTATTAATTAATTAATTAATTAATTATGTTTATTTTTGGGAGAGAGCACCAGTGGGGGAGGTACAGAGGGCGGGTGGACAGAGAATCCGAAATGGGCTCTGCACTGACAGCAGAGAATCCAATCTGGGGCTCAAACCCACGAACTGCGAGACCACGCCCCGAGCCCAAGTCCTACGCTTAAACCGACTGAGCCACC